GACTTACGTGTTTCTAAAACATATATAAGTTTTCAGCTTCTTAGCCACTAGGAAAGAAAGGAAACAGATGAATACTGTTCAAAATCAAGTCAAAGATTTTTTTCTTCTTTTGTCGCCATCATTTCTGACAAGTACTGCTCCCATGCCTATGCTATGTTGGATACCATTGCAGATATCTATTATAAATAAAGGGTTATGACACATCTGTACCTAGTGAAGAACTGACACGAGTTTAAACATAAATATACCTGCAAAAGTCTCCAGAGATTAAAATTTCTATGTGCAAACAAGAGGGTAACTCATTTAGACATGGGCCAGCTTAAGTTTCAAATGATTTAGGTTTCATCCTAAATCTAATTTTACTTCTTGGTGGATTAAAGAAGTAAATCGTGTTTTATTGGAGTCTGTTCAGTATAATGTGGAGATAAGGCATCAAAGCTTTTTGACTCACTCAACTCTCTTTAGCTATTCATATTTTTGAATGATTTAAAGCAAGAAAACTACAATTAGGGAAAGATATGTTCCTTTAACTCTACTTGATTTGTACCCTTCTTAGCATTTTGCTTAGCAAATTGGAAGAGTTGTGGGAAAAGATAGCTAGCTCCTGAGAATTCTGAAAAATGACATAATTGACACCCTTGTTCTATTTTCCTGAACTCTCTGCCTTCTTCCTCCAGCATTTTCCCCAGTAACACCACAATTCACCTGGGGAAGGTACAGCAGAGTTCTGTCAGAGAAGTCACGGTCTGTGATTCTCACCAGGCAGAGTTGGTATATTCTAACACAGGAGTTTTCACTGCAATCTCAGTGTAGGTAACTCAAGGTCTTGTACCCACAATTAGTTAAGCAGATGTAAATGAGGGCTTTTAACTAGGTGTCTGGATTTCCATTAGCTGACTTGAGGAATCTCAACTTTCAAGGATGAAAATCACCTGAACTCTCTCTGATGCAGTGTCCCTTGCCCTGGCATGTGTACACTCAAGTGAATCATTAGGAGGGATAACACGGAGCCCTCACTAATCCCTCAAAGCATGCAGGCCTCCTACTGAGATGGCTGCCTTGCCAATCACCACTTCATGCTCCCAGAGTTCCTTAGCTGAGCATAGCTATTCTGTGATTAATATCACATAGAAATTTTTCCAGGCAGAAAATGCTGCCGATAATTATTTGCTGTCGAGGACTGGAAAAATGCAAAGGCCTTCTTCAGATTTTTCTTTGCCTCTCTTCTTTTTCCTTCCCTTTTTTCTCTTCCTTTCTTTATGCTCTTCCCAATTCTCTTCCTCTCCTTTCCCGCTCCTTGTCCTTTTGCCTAAATTCTTATAGCCAGCTAAATACTGATTGCAAATTCCTTTTTTTCATCCTTTAAAATCAAAGTATAGAGTTTGGAAAAAATATAAAAATGCATCAATTCTTTCTTGAAGGGTAAAAGAAAAAGCTGAGTGAAATTTTAAGAGCCAAGGAAACCCAAGTATTAACAGATTAAAAATTCAAAATAGGCTCTTTAAAAAGAAGGAAATTCTTTAAAAATATTAAAACAACCTATTCATTTTACAAAAGGAAATAACAGTAATATAATGAAGCTGATTTCATCTTATTGCTTTATTGATACTTATTTTATTTTTAAGTTTATAAGTAGTTTGTGTATATATTTTACTTACGTTCAAACAGTTTACCAATAAATTGAAGGCTCCAGTACTACAATTTCAGTCCCAGTTTCCTCAAGAGAAATTGTTGTCATCATTTTAACCCAGTGTCTTTGTTTCATATAGTCACATCATCACTCAAGACCCAATAGGCTACTGAGACAGCTGTACTGTCATTCCATTCTTTCTACTGATACTGGATAACTTAAAAATTAGTAAAGATTAATATATTCAGTCAATATTGGTTTAACATCTTTCATATGACTTTGCATGGTGAGGATTGAGCAGTGAATATAAATTATTATGTAAAATACAAAAATGTTCACGTCCTGCTACTTAGTTATCAGACAAAGGGAGAGTCATTAAAGAAGATAAACAAACAAACAACAACCACAACAAAACAGTTTCTGATGGTGATATTCTACAGAGAAAAATGGAAAGAAGATTAGGAGTATTAGAGGTTGGAGGTGAGGGTTGTTTGCAATTTTCAAAAGTAACATTTCAATCACAAATAATAAAAACGTAGGGTTGAAAGCACAAATGTACATTAAAATTAAAAATAGAGCAAGTGCTGGGGATTCAGCTCAGTGGCACCACACCTGACTTGCAAGCACAGGGTCCTGAGATTGATCCCTGGTATCAATCAATCAATCAATCAATAATAAAAATTAAGCAAGAAATATTGAGATAAGAGATGTATTGAGATATAACATACTGTTAACATTGTTATATATTCTTCTTCCAAACTCAATGACATAAATAGGAAATATTTTCATCTTTTAGAAGGTAATAAAACAATAGTAACAGTAATGGTAATAATACTAATAGATAACTTTTATCATATGTATATACATATACATGAAATACTACAAATCATATTTACTAGTGTGTGCATCTGTATATGTATAAAATTCAGTTTCTATAATAGCTGTAGATGTCTAAAATCTGAGATCTGTTCAGTTTCTGATTTTGGAAATTACTAATAATTATCATATTGCATATCTCTTCTACCTTATACTCTCTGTATTTATCTTCCAAGATTTTACCATTTCATTACGTTACACAGATCTAGAATGTTTCAGTTTTTCAACTCCTTGTTTTCCACAAAACAAAGTGATGAAATTTGGGTTAATTTGGGATAATTTATACTGCCTATCTTATTATTCATTGATTAATGTCTCTCATGTGTCCAGTCTCCTGATAAGTTCATCAAATTAATTCTTTATCCTGATACATTTTCATTTTTTCTTTACCTCTTTTGTATGGTTTCCATGTCTTGGCTGAAATTATTTTTCTGTTCATACCTGTTACTAATGTATCCCAGTACATCCTTTGGCATATTTATTATAATTATTGCACTCTATTCTGATATTTCTAATATTTGAGTTATCTCTGGGTCCTTTTCTACTGATTATAATATGTCTTAAGATGAATTTTATTTTCTTACTTGGTAAGCAATATGATGTCTACCATAATATTGTATTACATGCTAGGAATAGTACATAAAGAACAGTAGAGACTGAAATAATGTATTTGTACCTAGAGAAAGGCCAATATCATTCACTTTGGGGCTGCTCAAGTTAAGAGTTGAGTAATCTAGTCTATAGTTAACCTGATTTCTGGGGTTTGTTTATAACCTATATCACACCACAACATAGAATCTGTATATAACTACAAATGGTGTAGTATCCAGGGACAGACTAACATTGGCTTGGTTTTAATGTAAGATCTAGAGTGCAGGAAGGCTGTTCTCAGTTCTCATGATCTATCTGTATGTAAGCAGGTCTCATTTTCTCAGCCAAGAGAGAACTATCTCCTTCTTTTGGTCTTCCTTTAATTATCAATGGCCACTGCTGATAGTGTTAAAGGAGTACCAAAATGAGGGATGGTCTTTTCTTTTCTTGCTTGCTTTTTCCCTCCCTCCCTCCCTCCCTTCCTTTGTTCCTTCCTTTCCTGCTTGATTCTACAGACATAGACTGACTGTGTCCAAGTTATATAACACAATCTATGAACTTTCTAAAAATATTATTTTGAAAAAATGTATTCTCGTTTCTGTGATGCAATTATTGTTTTAGTTATTTCTAGAATGACTTCTAAGACCTTGGTACCTTGATGCCAAGACAACAAATATTTGTTCACTAAGCTTACTTCATATATTAATAATTAATATGAATAATTAAACTGAGTAAAACTTTGTTCAGCAGAGAAACAAAACAAACATACACAAAATAGTAAAACTTTTTGTTATTGTTCATAAACTTAGTAAATGAGTAGTTCCCTAAAAAGATGAAAGACTATATACGATTGGACAACGAGTATTCCACTCAAGTAAATGATTTAGCACTTATTTAAACACATAAACAATTTTTATATTGTTCATAAATTCAATTTGTCAGCCATTATTGTTCCTTGTGTCCCTAAATATTTGAATGTGTACACATGTGCATGTACATACACACAACCACCTTGAATTCTGAGTAAATTTTCTTGTCTAATTTAATCTCAATACTAATTCTGAATAACTGTTTATGGTGCCCTGATCTTTGTATTTCAATAATTTTATTAAGAATTTTACAACAGAAATCACTGCAGTTTCCAGTACTCCTTTCAAATTAGCGACACTGAAATTCTTGAGGTACTTCAGCAATTAAGCTTGTTGGAACGCACTAGGGAAGTAAAACACACAAGATACAGTCTAAGCCTTTTTTTAATTGGAAAAAAGAGATTTAGTCTCAGCCACTGTGAAACTCAATTCAAAGCATGTCATGTTTCCAAATGACTGACTCGTCAATCCTATAGAAAAAATTAAGAGTAGTTGTTTATCCGTCTCTAAAGGAGCTCAACACGGTATTTAAAACATGAATACAAAATAAATTAAATAATTGTTACACTAAAGCTTGTAAATAAATGTTTCACTTTGAAAGACATTTACCAATGGAGTTATTAGTATTAAATCTTTCATTATTATGAATAAAATTAACTACTTGATCATAACGATGGATACAACAATTATTAAGAATTATTATAAATAAATATCAATTAGAAAATATGAAATAAAATGATGTCAGTTTATTAGGAGAAAAGATAAGTTCACATATAGATGTTCAATTAGGTGTCTATTTCGTAAGAAGTAAGAACAACCTATTCTTCAAAAGGCACGACACTTCCAAAAGGAATATTTATGACTCCATTCCAATTATGTGTTTTTTCCCCCCTACCATTTGAAATATCCTTTAATCTGCTATTATTTGCTTTGCTTTGCTTTGCCTCTTTGGCCAAATTCTAGGTGAATGAAACAAATGAAGGGTGATATAAAGGAGTGAATTAATAGATTATAGTCTCTTTTCTTCTCTTTAGGAGTTTAGTCTCAAGAGAAAAAGATCCTAATGAGAATGAGTAATTTGTTAAACCAAACATCACCAGTGATTTCTAGGGGGAAATTCTCCTCTTCTTCAGTGTCATGAGCATATGGAGTTTCCTATGTAGGATAAATATAGAAAATTCAGAAATACGGAAAATAAATGTGTGTCTTTTTCCATCCATGAAAGTGAGTATTATAAACTATTAAAATATTTTAATGTAGAAAAAAGCAGGAAAACATAGTTCAGATGTAATTAATGTTTTTAAAGTAGAACTTAAAATGAAAATAATAATACCTATATTATTATTATTGACTTCTTATTATATATCATGTAATATGGTATATACATTAGATTATATTTCCTCTGAATATTTACACACGCACACACCACAAGTATAACAGTGTTACTGTTATGATATATAATCTTTATTATGGAAAATGAAACTTTGCATAAAGGATGATATAACTTGCACTGAATCACAGAAGTACTTAATGAATCAGACTGGAATATATATAAATCCTCTGACTTCAGAACCTATGGCCTTAAGCCACTATGTACTAAACTTTAAGGCCAGTGTTGTGTTTTGTGCAGGTCCTTAGTCTATTGTTCTAAATGTCAGTTTCAATGTAATATAAAATAATAACAACATTTAAAATTATTTAGCATGTATGAGCTGAATTTTTCAGATGGACACTTTCCTGATGTTTAAGAAGCAAGACTTCATCAGATATTACAAAAAGGAAATGTTTTCTACAGAAATGTGCATGGCATTCACATTCCATGGGTTCTGTGACTGAGCCAGCAAGAGATTCTCTGAAGAGCTGTTCATTCAGACTGTACAAGCAGTATGCTACTGAAAGTTGCTCAGAACCAAGGCCTTGCCAAGCCAAATAAGACAAGAGATGATGCCCACGATATGGAAACAATTAGGTTTATATATCATTTATGATATTTATCATTTCATGACAGTAATATTCTAAGACAGTTACATTTTCATGACTATATTCAACTTCATTTTATAAATTTGATCAGTATTATAATAATTATTGTTTTCTATGGCTGTCTAGAAAATTAAAATGTAGTAACGTACAGTCCATTCATCAATTGGGTTATATCTGGAATAAATGCAGACTAGTCACATGGATCACTCTCATCTTCCACACTTTCTAGTACAAACTAGTTTTGCTGTTATGAAGTCACTTATCCATTCCATTTCTCAAGCTTTTAAACTATGAAGAGACTGTAGTAACTAATATCAACATTTTACAGGTAAGCAAAGAGCAAACCCAGCAAGTACTTTGTCAAAGGAATGCCTCTAGCTGGCTATTTTGCTGCCCATTCAGATTAAATATACCCAAGAGAACTGTTCACTACCTTTACACTCCTCTGGTTCCAAGGAAGTACTGTGTTAGGAAAACAACCAAACAAATGAACAAATATGACTTCTGGAATCAACAGACCTTAGTTTCAATCAAGTCCTCTCCTATAGCAGTTGTGTAAATCTGGGTGAGTTATTTATTCTTTTCTGTTTTATCTATAAAAGGCCTGATCTAGAGTGTTTGTGTGAGGTTTAGGTAATGAATATGAGTTTCCAGAACACAGAATAGGTTCTTAGTCTGTTTAGGATATTACAACAAAATACCATAGACTAGGTAACTTAACTGCATAGATTTAGAAGTTTCAAAGGCCAAGATCCAAGTGGCTGGCAGATTTGGTTTCTGTTGATGACCCATTTCCTGGTTCATAACTGATTTAGTTTTCAGTGTGTCCTCACATGGTGGAAGGGGAGAGGGATCATTCTGAGGTCTCTTTTATCATGCCTCTAATCCGCTTCTAGAGAATAGAATCTAATCACCTTTCAAAAGCCCCATGTCAGGCCGGGGATTTAGCTCAGTGGTTTCGCCGTCGGCTGCGCAAGCGCAAGGACCCGAGTTCGATCCCCGGTACCAAAAAAACAAAAACAAAAGCCCCATCTCCAAATACTGTGATGTAGGGGATATAAATTTAGGGGCTGGCACAGACATTATTCAGACTACAGGAAGTAGTCTTCAAAATGGTAGCTTTTCTATTAACTTTTCACATCATGTTTCACTGTATTGGAAAATGTGTTATAGAAAAACCTTCAGCTCACTATCAAGCTGTTCATTATTCTTTAGACAGAATTTAAATACATTGTCTTTTTCCACTGAAAAAATATCCCAATCTATTCACTCATTAGAATTGTAGTGTGGTTACTTCTGATACTACCTGCTTTTGAAAACATCCTACTTCAGATTATATTTTCCATCAATGACTCCAACATATCATTTTTACCAATTTAATACCCTCAAGTAACATTAAAGTTTTTTTTTTTCCAAACTCACAGCAAATAATGACTGAGTCTAACCAAACTACCTCAAAATTATTTGTATTGTACCCTGTAATATATGCCCTGGTAACCACTCATCACTCTGTACCTAAGACTACTTCACTTCCACATATTCATTGTTTATCCAACTCTTATTTCCTTCAGATAGCATTCACTCCATTCTTTTCATCCAAAGCATCCCCCCACCTTTTTTCTGCTCAATGAGTCTTACATACTTGACCTTTCAAATAAGTATGGAAATCTCAGTTGGTCCAGAGTCTCTGTGATATACTATCTAGAAAGGGAAGTTGCAGCAGAGAAGTTCATATATCTGGCTTAGGTGAGCAGTTCCTACCCCATTTAACTCCTCTAACTTCTCTTCAGTATAGGGAGAAATATCAGTAACTCTCTTTCATAAGCAAATCTCAGAATTCCCCATCAGTTTTAACTTGATTAAATCTATTCCTTTAATGCCTTTTCTTTATGTTTGTATGATGCCTTAATACCAGAGTAGTAGACAGCCTACAATGTACCAGGCTCAAATGGTAGTATGCATAGAGAGGCTGAAAAAATATTAAAGTTGTGAAAGATGGAGAAAAACAGAAATGTGGCATTACTGGCTAACCTGGAAAATCAAAACCCACAATTTTCATTTTATCCAAATCAATTCTACCATTCCACGCCCAGAGGCACTCAAGCAGCAAGGCTGCCTTGCTTACACACACTGCTGTGAAATGTAGACTTCATACAGCAGCAGTGGTATATAAATATGCAAATCATAGATGTATACAGAAACAGCCTTCCAATAGAGAACACCAGCTGTCACAGGCAGCAAAATCACTCCAAGGACTTGGCATTGGCGAATTGGCAAATACCCCCTGGTTATTGCTGTCCCATCAATCACAGGCCATTTGGCAGGGCAACAATCTTGAACAGGTTTCTTCCTCCTTTTAACTCAGTTAAAGGACTTCTTTTAAAGTGGTGAAATGCTACTATAAAATTTGATCTGAGTGTCTGCTATAGGGAATTCATTGTTTATGTTTGGAAAAACACTTTGCTGTATCTGGTCACACAAAATGAACAAACAAAAAATACTAAACCCTACCTAAAATAAACATCAGGTTAATGTTTTGTCTTTATTAAAGAAATATTAGGCAAGATTATGCTGATATGGGTGATGAGTAATGTGTAGATGTTAATAGTTTGTTTGCCTGTTTTTCAGAGATGGTTGAAGACTATTGACCCTCAAGTTATCAAAAGTTTTTAACACATTAAAAAATGGAACAGGAAGGAAGATGAAAAGATAGACTGCCAAACCTGTAATACCCCAGTCTACGAAACTTAAGTTCAACAGGGCAATGAATAAGAAATACTTCTCAACAAACAAAGAATGGTTTACAACCATGGAGGCATTCTGAGAGAAGTAAATATGTCATCGATTTTAAATAGCAGTATTATCCAGAAGAGAACAGATCAATAGAAGTTGCATAGGTTTTCAGATGCTTCAGGATATTAAAGAACAATCCCATTTCCCCCTCCATAAACCGTTCCATCCAGAAGAGTAATTTAAAATGTGTCATAAATCATTACCTGCTCAGCAACCAATCAACATCCAGGAAAAGTTATATCTCCCCCTATTCTGCCTTGGAACAATCAGAAATGTTCTCATTTTTGCTAAAACACAGGCCTGCCTGGTCCAGCCCTTTTGACTGGATACATGGGAGAAAATAAATTTTCTTTCAGATTTAATATGGCAAATACGAAAAGAAAAAACTGATACATTTCTTCAAATAACTTAAAAGTACTGAATGATTTTTACTTAGGTGATGTTCATTACATCCTTGTAAATGAGTTGGTAATGTTTATTGCTGTTTCAAGAAAGCATGAACAGATACAGGTAAATACAAAGATTTGCTCCATGCACAAGATAGAAAGATGAAGACTCATAATGAAAAAAGACTCAGATTTTCATGAGTGGTGTCAACACTCTATGTATGATCCCACCTTCCTTGTTAGCCTGGATGTTACTCTTAGAAAGTAAGATTATTCATTCATTGCCAATTATTTTCTGACCTTTTCATTTTCTGAAGTTTTGTGTTGTTAAAAAAAAAGGTACATTCTATGAACTCTGGGAGTTTGTGCTAGTAAAAGATAAAATGTGTAATCAAATAGCTTTTTTATAAAGTGAAATGTAACATGTTTTAAGAGACAGGTAAACACGCTTATCATGTTTGAGAAGGAAGAATTTGCTATTGGGCAGTAAGCTCAGTTAAGCTATGACATAGACACCACTTTATACATTGTATGTTGGGTAACATTTTAGAAATTCCAATGGGTACATTATTTTTCTTTTTGTGTCTAGTTTATTTCACTTAACACAATATCCTCCAGATCTATTCATTTTTATGGAAATGACAACATTACATTTTTTTTATAGCTGAATAATGTCCACCATGTATATATGCATGTTTCATTATCTACTCTTGTGTTGATGGACATCTAGGCTAATTCCATATATTAGCTATTGTGAAAAGTGCCCCAACAAACATGGCATCTCTTTGGTGTGCTTACCTAATTTCCTTTAGATAGTTACCCATGACTAGGATAGCTGAATCATATGGTGGTTTTATTTTTAATTTTTGAGGAACCTCAGTACTGCTCTCCATAGAGGCTATGCTAATTTACATTCCCTTCAACAGTGTGCAAGAGTTTCTTGCTCTCTGCTTGCTCTCTCATCTATGGGGAGCTTAAAAAAAAAGCCAACCTGAAAACAGAAGCACGATCATCTGAGGCAGGGAAAGTTGTATGGCCGAGGGAGTGGATAAAGGGAGGTTGAATTTGATCAGTGCACACTGTATGCAGCATGTGTAGAAATATCACACTGATCTCATTGATATGAGTAATTAACACATGTTAATCAAAGCTAAAATTGTTTCATACATGCACAAAAGTACAGAGAGAACCCATTGTCATGCCCCTCCTTAAAACCTTCGGTCAATTTCTCTGCACACACTCTGGGAAAGCAAAGCAAACCCAAAACCTGGACATGCTCGCTAGGCTCTGTGTACCTCCTCAGTCTTCTCTTGTTCTTCATGACTTTTGCCCACCCTGTTCCAAATCATAGCCAGTGCCTTTTCACATGCTTTAGTTCTGCTAGAAACCCACTTTCTCACATTCCATGCCTGGCTAACTCCTATTTTCACAATTTTTGGGAAGAGTGTGATTATCCAGGATCTTATGTATGCACACCAGAAAAAGGAAATCTGGAACAGTACATTACAGAAATCCACTCAGAGCCAGACTATTCTGTCACTGTTGTGAGCAGTAAAAGATTTGAGATAGGAATGGTAATACCAGAGCTGTATTTCACAGATATGTAGAAGCTATGTTCAGGACAGTTTAGAATACAAAAAGGTGAAAGCAAAAGTTAGCACTATATTTGGAAAAAAATCTTGGAAAAAGATAATGAAGACCTAAATTAGAGAAAGTAAGAAAGGGCATTTTATTAAAAGGTAATTTTACAAAAAGGTGATAAACACTGATGAAAAAAGGCAAATCCAATAGAGAAGGTAAAATAACCTTGATTTAAGTAAGATCCATTGTACCATTTTCAAACATGAGATTATCAGAAGAAAATGTAATGATACATTGGAGGCAAAAAAATTCATTTTGACCAGAAAGCAATAATCATGAATTGGCTGATGAATACAGCAAAACGCTCACAAGGTTTTTCTGGACTAGTGTTTGGAGAAATAGTTGGCAAGGCTGGCAATGGAGCCTTGGAGTCAAACTATAGAGATGCTATAGTGATATATGAGATCATCCATGGACAAAACCTAAAAAGGAGGGAGAAGGAAAGGCAGCTCTGACGAATCATACAGAATATGAAGATCCTACAACTAAAGGAGATAAAGTTGACATAGTTTGAAAGATAAAAGGATCATTAGGACAATGCATTATTTTAGAAAATAAAGAGGAAAGAAAAATGAAAAGCAACTTTTTAATATTGTTCTTAAATAGACATCAAAGAAAATGACATAACTGGCTCTTTAAGAAGGAATTTTAAAATAGGAAATATGTGAAAGACCAAGAAAAGCTGTTTTCACCAATTGAATTGAAAATCAAAATGATGAGTGAAGAGATTTACTGAAAACATAAGGATTCAACTAAGATTAACATGCCTTTGTCGTATACTCAATGAAATGCTAGGATATTCTACTTCCTGGCAACATTTTACACTCTTTAGATCAGAAGAAATTATAGCAGCATCCAGGTTAGGGTAGGCAGGCAAATAGAGCCACCAGTACATAGTTAAAGGAGCATCTAGAAGATGCTGATTGATAGATTTAAAATTTTAAATTAGAAATTTTATGCAGAGAATTGCTTATTTTGGAATTTTACTTGAGTGGAGAAACAGACAAGAGGCTATTGCACAAAATCAGTTTTCTTTTCCTCTCCCTAAGACCTTGTATCCTGTGAGCACCTTTAAATTTATAGTATCTCTTTTAAAATGAGTGTGTCTCTGCAAGTAATAGTAGCTATAATGTATGCTCTACTCACTTTACAATAATTATTTTATGAATTTGCTTCCTTAGCAACAAAGACACACAGTGAAGGGTTAGTGTAGGAAAAACAAATAAAAAGAAATATAAAAGAAGGAAAGGGCAAAAATCAAAACAGTACTGAAAAGTTTCCTTTCAAAAAATCATGAATGTATTATTTTAACAATTTTTATTGAGGTATAAAACACAAAATTAGAAACTAAACAGTATAAAGTTTTACGTAAGAAAACCCTAACCCCTCAACTCCTCCAAACCATTATATAAATTATTTTGGTATATTTCATTCTATTGTTTCCTCCAATGGATGTATGAGTGCATAGGGAGTGAGTGTGTATAAACTGGAGTTTACAAAATGATGTTATACTAGTTGGAAAACTGCCATTTCATTTAACCACATATTGCAAAGACTTTTATTGTTTAATAAAATGGCTGCTTAACTGTACAACTCCCAGTCTTTGTTTGGAAGAAACAGAAAACATCTCTGGCTGCCTTGTGTAGAAAGGAACACATGAGTCTCACATCACTGGGAAAGTGCAAACGGAGAGTTATTGGGAAATGTCCCATGACCAGGGTGTGCCTGCTGATAAATTAGAACACGAGTGTGGCTTCCACCTTCTTCAGTGCAGCCCTGGATCCAGGCCTTAATGATGCCACCAATGATTTGAATAGATTCTCTCTGATTCTGAATTTCTTTTTTTAAAAATTCTTTTACAAGTACATTTTATATATACAGTAAGTTTGCATTTATCATTGGGTGCTTGTACCTGTACATGATGTATCTTGGTTCTTATTTTTTTTCCCCATTACCTGTGTACCCTTCACCCCTTCCACCCTTTCCTATTTACATAGATTTCATTTCCATTTTTTTTTCTTTTCTCATAATGCTTCTTAATTTCTTATATCAACATTGCCTTCTAGTAATTATGACTCTAGAACACTGGTTTTAAGGCCCAGAACCATGCCCAACCCCTAGTGTTGAAAACAACTGGTTTTTATTCCATATTGCACAATGGACAGAAATATCTGCATGCCACTAATATTGCCAATGAGAGAAATTTCCAAACAGAAAAAAGAGTTCTGAATGCTGGGGAGCAGTACAATGTGCAAATTAATAGTATTTCTTATGAAATAACAGGGTAGCTTCCCAAATTATTCTGAATATTCAGAACATTTTTCATAAATTTCTTTAAAAACAATTCTATGATAACCACTTTGTACATAAACCTACATCTGAATTGCAGGTAGTGTTAAATGAGAGAAATATATTTTAAAACTTTGATGGACATCTGTACTTCACCCTGGGTAAAATTTCCACTAATTTATACTCTCAACAGGAAGATATGAAAGTGTCAGTTTTTCTACTGACAATTCAATTGGCAATTCTATTGCCAGTTCTGGCTATCCTTATTTTGTTAACCTTTCCCCAATATTACTAGTTGAAAAAGAAATAATTTATTGTTTTACTTTATAGTTCTTTGGTTACTAATGCTGTTTGAATAGTTTTCTACATTTGCTATTTTCCTGTGTCCTGTAATTTGTCCTTTGATAACTTTTAGTCCTATTTTCTTTATTGATATTTCCTTATGTTCTTTATTGATCTGATAAAATCTGTTCATATACTATATTAAAAAAACAACAGACCACCTATTCTTTTATTCTCTAAATTTCTGCTTACTTCACAACATTGCTTATTTAATTAGTGTTTAATGTTTTTATATTTGTGCTCCTTTGTGAATGATAATTAAAATATTTTACGTGTTTATTTTAAGTACACAATGAAACCACCACTGATTTTATATATTACTTCAAACAACTGAATAGCAATCTGTTAGTAGTGTTAATATTTTTTCTCAGCAATTTAAAGAGTTTTTCTATTTAGTAGTAATATTTCTTGAAATTACCAGTAGGTTTATTTTCTCTTTTTTTATTTTCTAGCACATAATGCTCATTTTGTCATTGTTGGTAGTGTTAGCTTTGATCATTAGATTAATATGATGCTAGCTGGTTTTTTTCTAATTTTATTTTTCTCATTTTGTATTTAAAAATGTTTTGTGGGTAGTTATTTGGAGATTACATATTTTATTTTCATTATTCACCTGCAAGTTTTAGAATCCATTAAATTTTTGTCTGTGTCATTTATTTCTGTGATGACTGTAAAATGATAATATCCAGGCACCATCATTCTTTCTATATTTTAGCATTCTATATAAGGAATTTATATTCTTTATTTAATAATTATTATATAATTTTATTATGTTATACTATATTGTAAGCATTTGTCTTGATGCCCAAATCATCCCAGAATTGGTTGGTAGAAGTGTCTTTCATGCTGGCTTCTGTGTATCTTGGCATGTATCATTATCCTTTGAAAATGTTATTACTTTTTTTGCTCAAAAGATGCTCTAAATATATACTGTTCCTTCCTTGTCTCAGCCCTGAATCAGCTACTTCTGTAAATAATCCTCATTCCTTTTAGTGGATAGTGATATTCTAAAACCAAGGTATGACATCTACTTTTTAGTACCAGTTGTCAATGTCAGGGCTATGAAATATATACACACGTTTGTCTTTTTGTTTTCTCTGAGCAGAACTCATGAGTACACACAGATAACTCC